ATGAAAGTCCCAACAGCTGGGAAAGAGTGTTTCATACTTTGAGTTTTTTTTAATTCTTCCCTGAAGACTTTCTACTCTCAAAAGAACAAGTTAAACAGGGTGAAGATCCAAACCAGCAAGGAAACAAGACACATGGCAATTATTTCAACAGTTTCCTATTAGACTTACCTCCGTTGATCGTATGTTGGAACACCAGGAGAAAAGAAGTTACTTGCATCTAACTAATGACTGATAGTTGCCATCTATGTGTTTTATATAAAAATAGTTATTTTGTCTCAAGACTGAGATCAGCAGCTGACCAGTCTGCTATTGCTATAGAAAAAGCCTTAATTCCATCTATTGCTCTGCCTTCTAACATACACTCAAGATAAAAACAAGACCGCATCCAAGCATGTCCCCTCATGCAAAATTGTCCATTTTCTTTAAGTAAGTTTTAATTCAGTTTGCCATTAATCTGCAATATTCTGTGCATGTGAACTTTTACACAGATATAAAAACACATGGAAAGCAATGTTTTCCAAAACAAGAATAAAGAATCCCCCCAACCTGACCACTTTTTACTTTTTTGACTCCATGTAGCCTCAGGAGTCTGGAGAAGGCTACATGACCTAGATCCTACTGACCAGCAGGACAAGGAGCAGAAACTGCCCAACAGCACGCAAAAATACTGCTGGAAAGGGCTGGTGAGGCAACCAAAGCCTAATCCAAGACCTAAGAGGGGTTTTCTCTTCATTCTGTCGATTTTGGCACACAGCCTAACACAGTCCCTGCTCCGTAAGCTACTTAAGGATGTGCCTAGTGTTAAGTTAAAGTCAAAGGGACTACTGGTGTCCTTGAAGACAAGCATGTGCTAAAGGAGGCTGGGGCCGAGCTCTATGGACCATAAACCTGGTGCTGCTGGATGGAGCTGAGCCCCAGCATCGGTCCGATAATTCAGAAACGAGGTTGATGCCAGTGGTGAGGGGCCTCCTGTTGCTGCTTAAGCAGTTGGCATTGGCTCTCCCTCAGCTTCCCCGGACCAGTCCCAGGACATCCCCACCTCCCTGCGGCACCTCCTCGCAGGCTGTGGGCTCCCGCGTCCACGCACGCCCTGACCACCCGAACCTTGCAAGCGGCTTACCAGAGGCATTGCCCCCAGCACCCCGGTGGCGTCAGTGGGGACACCCGTCCTCATTACCAACAGGGTGAGGCTGTGCCTGGCCGGGGTCTCCCACGACCGTCCCCCTGCCCCGCAGCCTGCCTCGCCTCAGCCGAGCCCTTCCAGCTTTCTGGGAACACCACGGAGCTCACCTTTCCCACCAGCTTTGGAAACGTGCGCAGTGCTCTTGCCCACACTCAGTCTTCCTTGGTGCGTGACAGAGAACGTCCGCAGCCCGCTGCTACTGAGACACCCGAGGTCGCTGCTTTTGCGTAGTCATGGAAAGAGCATCTTTGGTAAGTGGGGTGCTGGCCGCAGCCGTCTCTAATCCTGAAAGTGGCTTATTTCATCGGTATAAACCACCACTGACTTGAAATGTAACAATCTGCCTTTGTGTTGCAAAGGATGAAATTTAGCGTGGGGAAAGGAAGCAGGATTTTAAACTGCATTAATAGCAGGAATTATTCGGGTGTGTTGTCTATGTTTTCGAGATCCCTTGTTACACGCCGGATCAGAAATGCCAAAGCACCTTCAAGCAGAAGGAACCTACAAACAGGTTACAACGCCATTTTCCATTACAGCTGGAGACAACAGCACGATCTCCATAGCGCATCTTCCGTTAACATCCTTCTTTGCAGCGTTTGGCTGTAGTACGCTTTTGGAATTTCTTCTCTCCTAATTCAGGATTTCACCGTGACTTGGGCTACCTCACCCGTTACTGTAATATGTAAAGACTTATCTAGGTCAGGAAATTAAACCTGCTGTGGTGCAGTTTTGATCTAAACTGGAGCTGACATTTCTCTAGGGTACCTAGGGCAAGGCAGAAGGATCAGCTGGAAGTCACTTTTTTTTTCTAGATGTACCAGGAAATTTAAATGTGTGCGAATGGCAGAGTCAGCCAAACTATGCAGAATTAGTAAACTGCTCTCTAAAAAACTACTGTTTTTAGAACCTGTAAGTCCCTTGGCTGGCTCGGCCTGTTTGCAGGACACCGAGTCTGAATTCAGAGCTCAGCAAAGCCTCTTTTTTCGTGGACTTTATCGCGCACACGAGAGCACCGAGGCCTGGCATACCCGCTGTTGGAGTTAGCTGTGTTAAGCAGGGGCACAGAGGGCACAGGAGGGTTGCAGAGCAGCGCAGAGGATGTTCCAACAACTCAGCCAGTGCGCCTCGACCCAAAACCCCACCGCCAAACCGACAACCAAACATAAACGGTGACAATTAAACATCTGGCTTTGGATAAAACTTTGAAGCTTAGAGGCTGAACAATGAAGTGCTTGTTAGTGGAGGAAATGCCAGATTTGTAGAGTTAAGCTCTTTTTGATGGTCTAGTGCTGATCTAATTTTTAATGTGGCAGCACTAGCATGCACCGAGGGATTTGCCATTTTTATGCAGAGTAGCCAGGTACTGGTGTCCAGACAGTTCTACCCAAAGTATTTTGGGGCCAGGAGAGCAAGGGAAGAGATGGGAAGGATCTACTATCACTGGAAATAACTCTTAACAGGGCAATAGCAACTGCAAATAAGCAGATTGGTGAAACACTCAATTAAAAAAAGGTGTTTCCCCCTTTCTCTCACCCTTCTACAGTCATGATTGTGCTTTTGGGATGGGTTCTTGAACGACATGGAACTTACCCCCACAAGACTAGTCATCTGAGTGTTAAGTCACTTAATGCTACACTGCTTGATTATTTCTGCCGTGAAAAAAAGGTCTGGCAGATGTCCATGTTGCTTGCTATTTTTGCCCTTGCTGAGGATTAAAGTTGTGCATCCACTGCAATCACCAGAGCAGAAGATTTCATGTTATCTGAGGCATTTCTACAGCACTGACTGCAGGTGCAGAGGTAAAAGCGAAAAATAAATAATCATTCTGCTACTTTTCTGTGGGTCTAGAAATTGGCAATCACAACTTCCTCGCAGGCACGTATATTCCAGTACGCGCGATTTATTTGAATGCTTGCGCATGAGCTGTAAGCAGCTGCATCATACCGAGCTGACCGTGCCAACTGCTTTGGTTTGAGAGCCTTGCGTGTGTTCTTAGCTGGAGCTGCAGACCATTCCTCAGGCTCGGTGCTCCCACCACTAATATGATGCTGCCTGCATGCTGACTAAGGGCCAATCAAAGGACGTCTTTAATTGGGGTCAGGAAAGCCCCAAAGGAAAAAAAAAAAATCCTCTAAAAATACAGCAACAAAACAGGGACTTTTTGATCTTATTTTCTTAGACCTTTATGAGTACAGTGCTGCTACAGCAGCTGATCCAACCCAAATGAAGTATTAGAGGCTCCCACTCAGCAGAAACAACAACTATCTGCTGAGATTTGGAACATCATAACAGACATACAGTTGCCCTAGATTTTGATGAGAGCTAGATGAAAAATTTCCAGCTGACTAGTTTTATGAGAAAATTCTGGTTAGAAGAAATCTGGGCATTTTGTTGGAAAAGTATCTATTTTGTCAAAAAATGGAGAAACTATCTGAGCATTCTGTTTTATTAACTCATAATAGTTCACTTTTGGTTTGGACTTTTCTGCTTTTTTTACATTATGGGACAAAAAAAATATACCAAAGGCATAACAAATAAAAGGGAGTATCTCAAAATGGCTTATTTTAAGGAACACTCTGACACTGAGTTTCATCCTCATTTGGAATGAAAAGCCATTTTGAAACCTCAGCCTGCGTTACTCGGTTACGACAATTTGAGAAAATACATAGTTTTTACTCAAATGCCACAGGGGTATTATTGACCCTTCCTGCGGGTCACTCAGGTATCCTGCAATCCGATCAAGAGAGGGGATGGAAGTAAATGTGACGAGGTTTTTGTCAGTGCACAGGTAAGTGTGGTAAACAGAGGGGACCTACGGTGCTCTGGGGAGATTTGGGAATCGGGAATATGAAGAGGCGGCTATTTGCAAATGAGGATGGAGCTGGGAAGTGGGAAAAGGAAAAGCCATGGAGCACAATATTCCAACAAAGTGCTAGAGAAGGGGCAGGTCTGTAGCGAGAAGAAATGCTTTGGCAGAAGAGCCTCAACAAGCGTAAAAAAGCGCTTTGATATGCACGAGAGGAAGAAGGCGTCATTCCTGCAAGTCAGAACCGCAATAAAAGCATCATGGAAGGGGTTGTGAATGGGCCACGTGGCTTTAAGGAGGGAAAACTGGCTCTGACAACAAGAAATCTCATGCCCATGTGTCAAAGTGTCCAAACTTGGAAAACATTTTCTCAGAGCATGAAAAATGTTCAGTTCTTTGAATTTGGGGGGGTACCTCACCTGCAGGGAGTGGGTAAAGCTCCGGCTGTGCCCTCCGTGCCAGTGCACGGGAAGTGAGTCGAGGACAGGCAAGCACTGCCGGGGCCAAGGGACGGGCATCCTCCTGTGGCTCTCAGAGCCGTCTTTCTGAGTCGAGGTTACAGTCCATTGCTTGGTGCTTTTCTCCCAAATTCCCTGGGGAATGGGATACTGGCTACTAACGCCTATATGTATTGATACGATTTGTTTGCTTTTCCTTCCTGCCTGTCCCTCTGTCACTGTTATTAGGGTATGGATAAGAAGTAAGTCTGTGATTCCCTCAGATGGCCTGTGTTGATAAGCTGTTATGTTCATTCTGACTGGCTCCGCACAGACAGATCGTAATTTTTGAAGTTTCAAAGCGCTTCCGTAAATAAAACTGTACCTTTACAGAAACTCCCCTTTGTGTTTCCCTCCCCACTCCCTGCATCAGACACCGACGCACTCCTTTGCCCTGAAAGATCTGCTTCCCATTTATCCATGGCATTTTTAAGGATAAGTGCAGACAACTAGAATTAAACAAAAAAAAAAAAAAAGAGAGAAAGGGAGATTTTTCTTACATTCTTTGTTAGGATGTGGTGCGTACTTTTGGCTCGTCTTCGGGCAGGACTACATGCTGCAAAAAGAAGAACAGGAACATGGTCAGGGTGCAGTGGAGGCGGACAAGATGAAGTTACACATCCCTCTAAAGTTCCTCTGTGAGAACACACTGGGGGCATGATGGGGAAGGGGGGAAGAAGAAAGGGTTTAAGGAGGATTCTGGCTGAAACAACCCAAAAGTAAGTCCTTTTTAATGTAGAGACCATGCTTTAGCTATACAATATAGACATCCATGGGCATAGGGCAACAGCCTTCCCAAAGTTTCTGCACCTCTCCCATAGGCTTCCAGGAGGAACCATCCTTCTCCTTCCTGAGTTTTGATCTGGCCTCCCACTTGCCAACGTTTCAGAAGCAAATGAACTTCTCTTTCCATCCAGTCACCTCCAAACATGACTAGTGTAATACATTAGCTTTGGAAAGGCCCATCATTTTATCTCGATAGGGACTTTTTCAATAAGATCAAACTGCTTCGTGACATCATTTCAGTTTTACTTCATGATGGCCGAAGCAAAACATTTACACTAAGCCTAGTCTTTTCTTTTTCAATCCTCAAAATGACCCACTTGATTCGTTAACTTGGGGCATTTTGCTTAAAGTCGGTTTCTCAATGTTATTTCTTAATGAAGACACCAGAACCATAGGCAACAGAGAATCGCTAGCCACTGGACACACAAGATGCTAGGACCATAAGCCAAGCTTTTGACTGGACTGAAGCAATTGGTTTTGGGTGGGGCGTTTTTTGGACAAAGCGAAGATTGTTTAAACACTTTTTGTTTCAGTTTGACTTGAAACTGGCCTGAAAAACTCAGTGATACTCCTACCTCTCTCTCTCATCGTATCTCACCCTTTTCCTTTTTTTACCCTCCCCCAGGTTCAGGATGCAGGCGTCGTGCCTACAGGATTTAGCAGCCAGTGACAGAAACAGGCCAGCAAAAAAATGGTGAATTTGGAGAATTAACTCCAATTCTAAAGGCTGACCCTGAGGGCAAGGCAGGTGAATGGGGGTTTCCGACTCAGGCTCCATGTATAGTCCAAAGGCTTTGAAGAGCCAGGAAGGTTTGCTACGGCGTGGCAGCTGGCTCTTACTCTCCAGGTGAGCTTTCCTTTACATTTTTGGCATACATTCAACTCCAGGAGTGGCAGTGCTCATCGTTGTTATGTATTAACATTTGCAGAGAGTTTTGAAGCTGCGGAGGCAGCTGGAGTTCACTCAAGGCTGCTCATTTCTGCAGCCAAACTCCTCTCCTCTGACGGCAGGAATAACAAGGGACTGGGCTTTCCCGGGCTCTGGTACAAGCAGAGCTGGCAGTGGGACCAAAGTTACTCTTCCCAGACACCTTGTGTTTGTCTAAAAGCCACCCCTCAATACCCCAGTGAGGATATACATGATGAGCATTAGGACCCCACTGGCTAGAAATAAGGTTTTGGCCTCTGCTCTGCCCATAGTTAAACAGGACAGTAACACGGGAGGTGACAAATCTTGCCCAGGGACCCTGCCAGCGACCCGTGGCAGCACAGGCTACTTCCACGCTGAACTCACCGCAAGTAAGTTACCCGCCTGTTTGGAGCTTGAGCGTGTGCTGAGCTCTTAGCTTGGTTACGCTCTGTTTTGCATGGCATGGTATCCTCAGGGATCCCTACTGCCTTCTCCTGCAGGACACATTTTATATTTTGAACCACGGTGAGTGTGGGATGAAAACCAGACAAACATAACGAAGGTGGGTTTTTTTCCTAGGAGTATGTTGTAACTTGCTTTTGAAGCTGCTGCAATCACCTTTACTTCTGGAATTTCATCGCGTGAGGACTAAACTAACTGCTCACAAGCAAAACACTCAAGTGCAGAAAAGCTTAGTGATGCGAGGAATCATCTTCAAGTCTCTCTGGTATTGTATGTGTTTTACTGGACAGCGCGGGGAGCACGGCTTATAGAGATTTCTTCCAGAAGCAAGTACTTTTGTGCTGTTATTGGTACCCAGGCTGGTGCACAAGGAACACCACACAAATGTGCCCAGGCAATAAATTTGCTTATTTACAGAGTAGGTATGGTCCACAGTCCAACTCACTGCCTGTCATCCGCCGGCGCGAGTGGCAAAGGGCTTACAGGGGCTGGAGAAAGGCAAGGCACGAAAGGGAAGTCCCAAGCACCAGCAAACATGCGGTGACCCGAATAGCCCTTGAACGAAGGGCGAGTCACGGGGGTAGCCAGAAGTGACCCGCTTGCGCAGGAAGACAACGGCGGCAACGCAAACAGCGGGGCTGCAGGGCTCTGCCTGCAAACATGATTTTCTGCGGGGAGCGGGAGCAGGAAAGGAAGAATGAATCCTTGCAGGCGATGTTTCTGGATTTGCCTGCAAAAGGATGTTTGTACGTACAGCCCAGCTTTCGGGCAACAAAAACAGTGATGGTTCACTTTGTCATTTCCACTTGTATTCTAGAAATTAAGCAGCTGAGAGCTCATGTTCGCAGCTTGCACATAAAGATCTGATCTGGCCCCACAATTTGTTTTCCCTACTTTTACCTGCTTTCTTTTTCTCGTTGCTGAAATACGCAGCTATTGAGTTTAAACTAATTTGTTCAATCAAATGCAGACGGGGCTTTGTCCGGTTCTTACTCTTCATTACAAGCAATTAATGTTAATCATGCATTCATTTCCAGGGCATGGCTTTGGAAATGTTCCACTTACGGAGCCAGCAGACTTAAATTCAACATTCACGCAGTTCACCCAGTTCATCCGAGCTGCTAACTGCTCACAGAACTTCATTTTCTTTTCTATTACACAGAATAGCCACACAGTTGCAAGCTGTCACTTTGGCAATTACCTCATAGGTATATCAACACCGATTCCAGATCCCCCAATTTTGCCGGCGCAGAGGTTTTACACAGCCACAATGTCGGAGCACCTGCGCGTACAAGCTCCAGGAACAAGCAGCGAGCGCCGGGCTGCAAGCAGAGCGCGGCGCGGCGCGGCAGCACGGATGAGCTGCTCGCTTCAGAGGTTTCCCTGATGCTAACTACCCCCATCCGCCTAAAAGACAACACCGCAGCGGTTGTTACAGCTTGGATGTACTCACATTTGGATGAAATCACAGTGGTGAAAACTTCTAAATTTTCGTCGCTGCAGCTGTAAATCTGGTGCATTTTCCCCCTCTCCCTCCTGACTGCCTTTCAGCTTCATGCAACCGCTCTGAACTTCTGGTAAATAGGTTTCACTAATCCAATCTGGCTCTGTGATCATTGTCCAGATCTACAAAGGACAGACTGATGCTGTGATCTCATCTCATTCCATATTCTTCATCGCAACATTTTCTGCTCCCATCTGCCTTTCTATGAATACTATTAATGCAAAGATTTAATTTAGCTGTTACTTGAAGCTTCTACTCAGATAGATAGAAGCATTTTATTTTACGTCTCCTTTTACCAGTTTGGAGAATCCTCTACCATAAACGGCTAATAATAAGTCTGTTCTGTGCAGACAATGTATAGGCAAATAAACCTTTACAGAAGTACTACAAGGATTTTTAAAACAAGTTGGGTTAATACTTTGTGTACTTCAACACATTTGTCATAAAAACTTCCTCCTCCCATATACTGAGGAGCTGATTCTAGGTGTATTAACAAAAGCATTTTGTGCTTTACCTTTTAAGTTCATAAACTAGTACCTGAATCCTGGGCACTTCAGTGTAAAATTGGAAATGCAGATGACAAAGGAAGGGCACGTCAGGCAGACATACATAGGTCTATATGACCCTACACTTCAGTGGCTGCAAAGGGAGGGCAGGTGGCTCAGTCATAGATGAGTTCCTATATGACTTGATGGTTCTGGGGCCTAATTCCATATTTATGCACTTCAACAAAAGGTCCTCTTGCCAAAGCTTTTCATTCCTTAATGCTCCCATCAGAAATTTTTCCTTTCCACATCTATGAAAATCAGCCCCCTCAACTTCTGGTGACTTACTGCTGCCATGGACACCTAAGCTCAAAAATTTTGGCTTGCAGGCTCCAGCAACTGATGTAGCAGAAACACTTTCAAGTGTGAATAATGATATTAAATTATATCAGTCTAATGAATAGCCTTCATTACTAGCACGTGTGTGTAATTAACACAAAAACTAGTGCTGTCTTCTCCTATGGACGTCTGCCACCAACAGTCCCAGATGGAAAGTGCCAGCAAACATGGGCTGTCACTGTCATATTCATATAACGTTTCTTCTTCGAAATAATAAATATTGGTCAAATACACATCCTGAGCCTGGAAGCAGTCTGGTTGAGTGGAAGGTGTCACTGTTTCAAGAAAGAAACGAGTGAAGAGAAGCTGCTATCACTTGTCACCTCCCAGGGCAAGCCTCCTGCTGTCCAAGGGCAGCAAAGCCATCGTGGGGCGGGGGGCATTGTCCCAGGAAACCCTGCCGTGTCTGAAACGGGCGGTGGGACGACAATATAATCAAGCAAAAGTTCAATTAGTTTTTGATTTATTGCGCCACATGTTCTGCTTGTATGACTGATGTCATTAACATCAGGCTCGGCCGGCGTGTTCATCTGTCCCTGCCCGGCTCCCTCTGAGGGCGCACGCACTCAACAGATGGGGAACTGCACGGGCGCGAATGCAATTGTTTATCCCCCTATTGTTCCTGTGTCAAGCAATCAAACCAAATCCATTACCCACCGAGAAAAAGATCAGCGCACCATCCATTCAGCAGTGAATGGAGCAGAGGCGGTTATGCAGGGAGGCTTTAAAGCTTTCAAAAGGATAAAAAAAAATAATGAAGAGCAACACTGAATAGTTGACCCCCTCCCCCCAAAAAAGCTATAACAAATCTAACCCGCCCTTTATTTCGCCTTTGGATATTCAGAGTCCTGTAAGAAGCATTTTTGGATCTGAGTCGTTGTTTTCCTAGATATAGGTATGACCTAAAGAGATTTAAAAATCACAGCTAGGGATTAACATTAGAACAAATACTTGGTGTTTCATCACGTTGAGAGGTGGTGGGGATGTGGAAACTGAAGTGAGACTCAAGAGCCGGTTACCGGCCGGCACTCATGGCTTTGTAGGTTAGGTTTTGAGCAGGTAGGCTTTGAACAACTATCTCTACAAGGGACGTGATGCTCTGGGAATGAGTCGCTCTCTGTGCAGAGAGCTGACAAAAGGCTCTTGCATCACTTCCAGACAGAAAAATAGGGCTTGGGAGGGCCAGTATAATGCCTCATCTGGGAGTGAATTTCCCCCTGTTCATGAAAAAGAGTTTGCTGCTTCGTTCTGCTACAGATCTTACAGGGTAGTCGAGCACTACGACTGCCCAGGGTTTTGCAGGTAATATTAACGTGGCTTTAAGAGAAGGACTGCATATACTGGGCTACTTTTGTCTAGCTGTCCGTGAGTTATTTTGAACAAATGTCTTGGTTTATCTAGCTACAAAATAGGTGTGATACCACCTGCCAGGAAAGTGTACCATAAAGCTCAACTGCATGCAACCTGCTGAAGAACAGCAGGACAGTAAGTTTAGACTTGAGGAATGTACTCTCCATAATGTCCAACCTAGGAACTGCTTGCAGAGCCACATCAGATGATTTCACATAGTATCTCCCTCTGGCTCCCTACTGACCTAACAAGAGTTCAGTCTGTGGTAGGAGAAGGAAACCAAACATTTACTGATCCTATGATGCATTTTTTGCCCATCAAATTACATAAAATATCTAGAAACTACACTCACATTTGTCCTCACCGCTAAACACAGCTGATAATCTATTAATTTAATTCACGTGGTGCCGCTGCAGCCATGAGAAGACCTGAAGAAGTTTTTGCACTGGGGTATATCTGTGACTGAAGGCTCCCAAACCAACATGTGGAATCCAAATTCCTCGCTGTAGGCTGTGATACAGCAGTTTACCAAATACATGAATTCCCAGTGTTCATAGAATCACAGAACCATAGAATGGTTTGGGTTGAAAAGGACCTTAAAGATCATCTATGTCCAACCCCCCTGCCATGGGCAGGGACATCTTCTCCACTAGACCAGGTTGCTCAACGCCCCATCCAACCTGGCCTTGAACACTTCCAGGGATTGGGGCATCCACAACTTCTTTGGGCAACCTGTTCTACTGTCTCATCACCCTCCTAGTGAAGAAACCACGTCATAGTGTTGTCAGTAAATGATCAAAACATTTGCTGGTGGAAGAACTTGGCAACCAAAGGTGAACAGGGACAGCTGAGGAGGAGGAGAACTCAGGACACAAGAAAAGACATATGGTGTCTAGCAAAACATCCACTTAACCTGAACTGCAGGTCTGGTACAGGGAAGGTATTTGATTTTTGGGAACGTGGGCAGAAAGGAGGGAGTGGTGGAGAAGAGGATGAGACATATGCCGAGGCAAAAACAACTCATGAAAACAGCAGAAGGATTAGTGAATCTTGTCAATGTGGCAGAAAAATCCCATAAGCTGGAAAAACGTCACTGCAGGGAGGTGGTGGGGATGCCTTTCCCATGGGCTGGACCTGTTCAGCCACACTTGGAAGAAACAAGTATAGATGCTTGTCCTGTTTACCAAGTATGCGAGATCTGGTACACTTAAAAGTAATCAAGTAAAACCAAATTTTAATTATGGTTACAAAAAATGTAATTAAAACTTTAAGTGATTTAAGATAAGTATCAGAAACCTCTAGACCTTATGTATCCTGGCCTTTGTAAACAAATTACTGCCTTTCCAGCGCAGCATTTTCTTCCAGTGAAGCCAAAGGGAAGCACCCCAGTACTCTCAGCATATGCAACGCTGCCGAGGGATTCCCTGGCCTGCAGAGGACAGAGCCCTTCCCAAGGCAGAAGCGCTTCTGGCTTCTCCCTGGATCTTGTACCCTGTTGTGTAAGAGGTGAATCTAATCCATACTGAGCCACTTGAGCCTATTTCTTACCGTTAGCTGGGCAATATGATAAGGATAAAACACAGGTATTTTTGGAATAGGATTGTGAACTCAGAGGTATGCACAGATAACCATTTAAAAATATGATGGGATAAAGCTACACGTGCATGCTGCAGACATTTACTCTAAACCACTTTCACGTGATGCAAGGCAAGCGGTGTTTTTTGTGGAATTGTTTTGTTTCATTTTAGGGCCAGAGAATTGCAACTGCCAATGACTGAAAAGGAAAACCAACACAAAAAGCAAAACATAAAGTGAGCTTCTCATACATAGTCTGTTCTTTTTCTCTAAATGAAAGGAAGGGAGAGACAGATACGCTACCAACAACTTCACCTCACTCCTATCGCAGTCTGCAAAACCAGTTCAAAATTGAAGTAGCATTGCATGGCTAAAAGGTCTGTGAATAAGTGAAGAATTTTCAAAAGTAACATTTTAATTTGCATCTGGCTGGAAGCTGCTGTAACAGATTTTACCAAAATGGGAATAAGACAGTCAAGGCATTTAAAAACATTTTGAACTTTAAATTCACCATAGGGGACCAGGAGAGAGGGATGCAAGTGTTGTGCAGTTTGAAAGGGCTAGTGCACAGACTCCTCTGCTAATCAGGAAAGAAAATACCAGCCAGACCTGGAAGCCAGGCTGAAAGCATCCTCCCCAACTAGTTACAGAAAGCTACTGCAGGATCCTGAGGAAAAAAACAAGCCTGGTTGGCTCCTCTTAAAAAAGTTACATATAGATAATTGGACATTCACAAATTTGCCCTAAGCTTGTAAAACACACTTGAGTAAGTCCATACAATGATTAGCGGGAAGCACAATGCCCAGCGCTGCAAGGTTCAAGTCCCGCAGAGCCTGTGCCAGCAGCGGGGATTGCACTGAGCCAGCATTAAAACTAGGGCCGGGCTGAGCACGTGGAGGCTTAACAAGCTTTCATACACTGGTCGTGTACTGGTAATCCACAGAAAGCATTAGAAATGTCGACAAAAGAGCGATACGTCCAAATCGGGCTGTGACAACAATAGCTTATGAAGATGACGTACTTTAGTTACATTTGTCCTTGATTTATTAATTTTTCACGCTAATTGATCAGCGAGGTCTTTATTCCCCTGATAAAGCACAATCACTTTTGGATAGGGCTTTTTCAGTCCCGACTTTTTCCTTTGACACTTTTTAAGATTATTTTGACTGCTGGCTCCTGATGTGAACAAAACCATTTTTGGACAAAC